TGAGAGAGAGATTTTCATACTTCGGAGACAGAAATTTTATATCAACCTCCAATTGAGAGGCCAGAAATGCCCCCGGTACCCAGTTTTAGATGGAAGGGTACTGTCCTCCAAAGTTTAACTTGAGGCTTTGGCAGGAATCCTTTCTGCTGTCAGCACCTAGGAACATAAAAAGAATAGTGCTGATCATGAAGTTTCCCGAAGTCATTTGTAGATGAGTTGGAAAAAATTAAAGCAATTGTTGGCTTTGAGTCAGTAGCAGCCCGTTTGGGAGGACAGTAATTGCCACATTAGAGGTGACAGTCATTTTGCAGTTGACCTTGCTGGTTGTAATCCGGCTGTTGCCGGGGAGAAAAGGCTTTTCCACATACTTTCACTCTCCTGTTTAATATTTCAGTCTTTGAGTGATTGAATGCAGCAAAAATTCCACCACCAACTAGTTAAAAAGCTATATTTCACGGTTACAATATCTAACAGAAGGGTTTATTTCACAGCTATCATGTTATAGCCATTAACTATATATTTTTAAAGAGTGAAATTAAAATGCTAGGGTCATTTTTTTTTACAGTGGCATCCTGCAATCCATAGACTCCCAGAATACAAATGAACTCATGTTGGTTGGCATTTAACTAGTGAGAGCAATCATTCCTTATGTCGGAACGGCCTCCCCCACTGGCCCAGCTTTCCACAGCTTTCCCGAGTGTGTGACTCAGTTGACCTGGAGGGAGAGAAGAGAAGGTGATAAGCCCAGAGCTCTCTTGTATTACTTATACTCACCTTTAAAATAATCTCTTAAAGACATTTAAAAATGCAACACATAATGAATTAGAAATATGTATATATGAAATGAAAACTCATTAAGTGAGGAAGGCAAGGTACAAAGCAATCCAATTTTTGTAAAGCAGTTCAAGGCCCCTTTGCATATATACAGGTTTGTATATGATCAGATGAGAGCTCAGTTGTTAGTGTTGTTATCTAGGGTAGCACATAGGTCAGGGTGACAAGAAGCAGACAGAAAAGACAACCAAAAATCACTAATAAATAAAAATGTACTCGTAATTCTTAGAAATCACGCTGGCAATAATATGCTGATAGTATGATGACAATAAACCATGTTATCAATGATGGGTTTTTTTGATGCTGGGAATCGAACTTGGGACCTTGTACTTGCAAGGCAGGCAGTGGCACCACTGAGCTAAATCCAACCATGTTGTCAGTGATATGATATCACGCACAATTGCCCGTAGTATGGATGGGCATTTGTATAGGGATGCATGAAAGGATGATCTCCAAGCTAAGGGGAAAGGATGGTAGGATTTCAGAGGCATTTTACTTCCTTCCTTAGGTTTTTCTTTATTATTTCATTTTTTTTAAACCAGGAGTACGTATTACAACTCTCATCAGAAATAAATGCATTTATTTTTGTTGTGGGGAAAAAAAACCACTTAGTTAATAAACACTTAAATGGAACAAAGTCATCAATGGAAAGAAAGTTCTTCCTTCCCTAGTGCCCCTCCTTGGAGGGCCCTGTGGCCAGTTTCTCTGTGCCCTCAGGAGAGTCTGTGCTCACAAAGGCACATGAGTTTTGGGGGTGGTTTCTTTGCCCTTAATCCGCATCTCTCTTCTCTTCCCCCTGGGCAGCCATTCAGATGTATTTAATAGGTGTTCTTTTATTTCAAGGCGTCCTTGTAAATTATGTATTGTTCTGGGCACATGGATTATTTATTCACATAGTGGTGCTGGGTTATACATCTCATTCTATTTCTTTCTTTACTCTGCAATGCATTTATAAGATGTACCCTTTGTTACATGCCTGCTACCCATTGTTATTGCTTCTAGCAGCTGCAGTGAAATCCCTGGGTATATAACATTTATAACATAATCTCCTGGCCCTTTTACACCTACTGAATACATTCTTGCGCAGACATTCACGAAAAGCCATCTGAATGTGAACTTGCATTGTGACTTGAAGAGGAATGAAGAGAAAATCACAGAGCTGACCAGTGTCATTATACTCTAGAAGAGAGAGGACTAGCCTAGGTTGACGCAGCAGGCTTGGGGACAAGGAAGAGGTGACTCTAAGCAAAGCAGAGAGAACCTGCCAGTAATTGTTGAGCATCTTTTTCTTTTAATAAAAATGTCTCTCTTGTCAGGTAGGTATGATTATTTCTACTTTATGGGTAAGGAGCCTGAGGCTTGGAAAGGTTAAGTCTCTTGCATAAGGCTCAGGTAGCAAAAGGGAGCTAGGCTTGGACTCAGGACCTCTGTATCTATAGGCTGGGTCCCAACCACCATATGGTGCTTTCTTCTCTTTGTAAACATCACCACCAAAAGTCACTTTTCTATTTTATTGGCTGTAGTTTCTACTTGTTCTCTTCTAGAGCTACTATTACTCCAAACTCACTTTTCTGGAGTGGGGTTTCAGAGGTGCCATTCAAATAAAACTGCGGTGAGATACTGTGACCCTCGAGTGCCAGCCATAACTGCCTTGAGGAATGAAGGCCTCATTGCCACCAGAGCAGAGAGTGCGGCCCTCACTGTCTGCCCTAGGGATCTTGTAACTGAAGAGAGCTGCCCCCCCCAGAGTCACGTCCTCTTTCTGGGGAAGCCATCCAAACACCGATCGGGCACACAAGGCCAACTCAGAACAACTCTGGCTGTTCTACTCCCTGTCCTGAGCTCCTCAAAGGGTTAGCTGAGCCCTTTATGGGGACACTTCCCTCTACACACCCGTTTTCTTTCTTTCCTTTTATAGAGAGATCCCAAGAACGCCTCCAATCTTCCTCCCTGTTCTTCCTTCATTCTTTCCTACCCCTTGTATTTTTCCTCCCAGACCTCTCCATCCTCTACCGTCCTGTCTTCCCTGTGGACAGTCAATGGGCTCTCAACCCCACTTTTCCCCAGTCTTAGGGCCCACCTCTTACCAACATTGCTAGAGGTTGGCCCAGCCCTATGAAATGGGCTGGATCCTAGGCACCATGTACCTGGAGTTCCCTGACCAGAGGCAGGCCTCCGGCAACACATTTCTGTCTTCCCTGACTATAAGCATGTCCTATACTCTCTGAGGGCCAGGCCTTCCACCCAGAGCAGTGGACACATTTCCAGGCTGCCAAGCAGCAGGGGTGGCCCTGCAACTTAAAACAGCCGCAGTTGATGGCTCTGGGCCATCACAATGTTTTTGTCTTGGAAAGAATACTTGAAAATTACAAAAATTACACCATTTCCATTGTATGCCAAAAGCACAAAAATTGCATTTTAATCCCTTTACAGAGGAAGCCCTGATACTTGGCTTATAGATTCAGACTTTCTGGTTCTAATTAAGACATGCGCTATTTTTCCAGTTCCCTCATATTGGACTTACACAAAAGACACCAGAATCCTTCATGAGTTCTGTGTTAAAAGAGCCTTATTGTCCACAGTTGATTCAGCAAGCAGAGAAGAAGCTGCCACCAATATACAAAATCCGGGAGAAGGTGAGTCCAGGGCCCTGGCCCCAGCTGCAAGCTCTGTGACTGTCCCAGGAGTTGGCCCTGGGGTGTTTTGACCAGACAATTCTTCCTGTTAAGGAACTTCTCATTTAGCAGCCTTGGTTGTAACCACCTCATTCACAGGGCTCTGTGACAGGCCCAGACACGCTGTAGAAGCTACATCTGGTTCCAGACAATGAACAAGGCTCCTTTAGAGGAACCTTGGGTTACACTCTCAGATCACTGGCATCCCCATTCTGCTTCCTGACCCAGTTCGTGATGAACTTGAGGGGCACTGCTGTGGCACAATGGAGGAGCAGGTGCACACCTCGACCAGACTCACCTTGTGACCTGGGCCAGGGTGCTGCTGGTCTCCTGGATCCTTACTGCTCAGACAAAGAAGTTGGCCCCGTGGCCTCAAAAGTCCTTTTCAGTTTTTGCTTCAGTGAGCTTGTACACTTTTCCATGCTGGCCTGCAAAGAAGGTGTTCCGAAAGAGGGTCTTTCTGATTTTTCAGAAAGTTGGTGTCTCAGAAAACTTAAAGGGAGGAGAGATTTATTTCCACTCATGGTTCCTAGAGGTTTCAGTACATAAACAGCTGGCTGCAGGGCAGAGGAGCATGGCTGAAGAAAGCTGCTCATTGCATGGTGGAAAGGAAGCAGAGTGAAGGAAGGAAGGAGCTGGGAAGGGGGATGAACAGGTCACCCCGCTAGTGACTAACCTCTTCCAACCAGACCCACAGCAAGATCCCAAGAGCAAGTCAGCTATTAGCCCCCATAATCTTCTGATCCCCCTCCAGACACACAAGGCTTTGGGGGCCACTTTAGATTTATACCGTCACAGCTGTCAGTAAGGCTGAGTTTCAAAGCCCTGAGCTCACACACACACTCACAGGGCTATGTGCAGCACATAACTGTCTTAGTGAGAGGTCGCTTTGCCCCACCATCTTCTCTCTGAGTTGCTGCACTTTGGTCTGAAAGCATCCTGGGTTTCTTTTGATTTGTTGCATTTTTGGGGTTTTGTTGTTGTTGTTGTTGTTGTTGTTGGAACTTGGGATCAAACTTGGGTCCTTGTGCTTGCGAACAGGTGCTGGAACCACTGAGCTAAATCACCAGCCCAACGTCCTGTATTTCTTTTTTTTTAAATTTATTTAAATTGAATTTATTGGCATATTGTAGGCAGACAGTACAGTTACATTCATTACTGGGATCTTGTACCTTTACATGACAGGTCTAGGTTCTCATTTTCCCCCCTTGTCTCCACCCTCCCTTCACCCCCTCCTCTCCTCCCCACCTACAAACACTTTATTTCCATTTTTATATTTTCTCATATTTTTTTCCTTTTCCCTTGTTCCCCTTTCCCTATCCTTCTCACTGTCCCTACACCTTTGGTCCTTTTCTTCCTATTTCACGTTGCTAATTATCCCGTTAGGATCTTCAGTACTATTTTAGTTTTTCACACCAGAGAAACTATTCGCAACGTCCTGTATTTCTGATGTGCGTCTTCTCATCTCTTTCTCACTCTCCAGCAAGCAGTAAGTAACAACTTCCCCTTCTCTGTGCATGACAATCGTCACAGTTTTGAGAACTCTGGATGCTACCTTGACTCCGTGAGTATTTTTCTCAAAATTACTGATAACATGGGGAGCACCACTAGGGCTCTTGATTTTCTCAGGCCTGTTGAGGACCTCAAAACTGGCAGAAGGTCATCAAAATAAAGCAAGGTCTTAAAAGCAGGACTGTAACAGGTTACAAAACAACAACAAAAATCACTCTTGAAGCTGTCAAGGGTGCACGCAGCTTTCAAGTCTGCACCAGTCTTTTGAGTCTGTTAACATACTTCTCAAAGTCCTTCCCACAAATGGTCTCTTGTACCGGGACCCCCAAGCAGGGCCGGAAGGAGGGGGAGATTGCATAATATAAGAAAGGACCTGCTAATCACTGCAGTGGCCTTTTCTCTAGAGGGGTGGGTTCCCTGCCATTATACAAAAGAAATATAGTGCAAGCTGCCTATGTAATTGTAAACTTTCTAGTAGTACATTGGGTAAAAAGAAAGAGGTGAAATTAATAATACAGATGGTCTTCTGCTTATGATAGTTTGATTTATAGCTTTTTGACTTTATAATGATATAAAACCATAGGCATTCAGTAGAAACTGTACATCAAGTTTTGAATTTTTCTCTTTTTCCTGAGCTATTAATATGTGGTACAAGACATGTGCCACCATCTTCTTTTGAGAGGCTGGGCAGTAGCAAGAAGCCACAGCTCCTGGCCAGCCAGATGATCATTAGTGTACTGTGTTGCTGAGCTGGGATAGGGTTGGGTATAGGTGTATTAGGTAGGGTATAGGTATATCAGGTTAGCTATATTAGATCATTTCTGTATTAGGATTTTTCAACCTCCAATGGGTTTATTGGGAAGTAAGGCAAGGAGCAATTTGTATATTTGATTTAATATTTTCCCCAAATTATCACATCCATATGTAATCAGTATAAAATTGTTAGAATATTTTACATTTCTTTTCCCAAACTAAGTCTTTGAAATCCAGTTTGTGTGGGCCAGGGATTTAGTTCAATGATGCCGCCGCCTGCCTCGCAAGCACAAAGTCCTGAGTTCATCCCCGGTACCAAAAAATAAATAAATAAATAAATAAATAAACAAACAAATAAATAAATAAATAAAATCCAGTTTGTGTTTTACACACCTTGATTTAGACAGCTGAATATTCAGATACTCAGTTGCTATCATGGCTAGTGGCTACCAGACTGAACATTGCAGGATTAGTGCAGCCTAGGCAGAAAGTGATGATGATGATATCAGTGATACCCATGAATCATTAAACATTTTACCATATCATCTCATACAATCCCTTGAGCAATCCTATGGGCTTTTTATCATTCCCAATTTAGAGATAAGGAAGCTGAGAACAGTTAGACAACGTTCCCAACATAACCCTTTGCACTAAATTACAATATCCTGACTAAATCTAAATGACTCAACCCCCACCCCTCCAATCTGGTTTTCCCCTGGCAGAGCACTGAATACAGAACCAGGATATCCTCTCTGCCTGCCTCGCTAAATGGAGTATCTAAAACTGTTTTCTAAATTATCAAAGCAGCATATGTCCTAAAAAAAAAAACAAAACTCAAATAACATAGAATCATATAAAATCAAAAATATAATTTGTACCTTTATTTTCCTTCCTCACAATTTCACCTTGATGATTCATCAGTAAACAGTGGTTTGGCAGACAAAATTTGAAAATTCTTATAATTCACACACATAAATGAACATATAAAAAAATAGGGCTTCCCACATGATGGGCAAGTACTCTACCACTGAGCTACATCCCCACCCCTTTAAATTTTTTTATTTTGAGACAGGGTCTTGCTAAGATACCCAGGCTGGCCTCAAATTTGCCATCCCCCACTTCTGCCTTCTGAGTAGCTGGTACTAAGGTATTCGCCACCACAGGAGGCATGAATGTCTATCACGTCAAGGTTATAAACAGGATTGTACCACATGCATTTTACCACAGTTATAATAGTCTTGTAGAAAGCATTGAAAGTTTTCAACTTTCTCTGTGATTTGGAGGTTTATATAACATTTGGATTTTCAGTTTATTGAAGATCGGAGAAAGTTATCCCATAAAATTGGTTGTATTCGACTTTTTGTTTTTTTGAGACAGGGTCTCATTATGTGTAGTTCGGGCTGGCTTGAGGCCAACATGTAGCCCAGGCTGGCCTCAAACTCATGGCAATCCTCCTACTCAGTCTCCCAAGTGCTGGGATTATAGACATGTGCCACCACACCCAGCTTGATACATTTTTTGAGTTAAAGTTTTATTACTTTTTCCATTGCTCCCTTGATTATTAATCTATTCAAATATCATATCTCTTTTGTATAGATTTTGCTAATGTATTTGCCTAAAATTTACCTAATTCATTTCAAATATGTCGTATAATATTTCTTAAACACTGATTTTTTTCTGTTCATTTAAATCTTTTCCAGTTGAATGTTTAATTCAAATACTTGTAATTTTATTAGTAAATTTATTGAAACCATTAAAAATTTTTCAGATTATTACTTTGGCTACATTTCAAAGGTTTTTCTAATTAAGGTCTCATAGTTATTTGCTTCCAAATAGTATACAATTTTGGTTTTAATTTCCCTTTCAACTGAAAAAAATTAGAAGCTATTTAGAGTTTTTTACATGGTTATAATTTTTTTAGGTCATCTATTTGTTGCTAATGTCTAGCTGTATGGGTTACAGTAAATTTTATAGAGCATAATCTGGGATTTACAGTTTTTTATTATAGAGATGATCTTTGTACATGATTAATTTAAAAATATCTCATTGGTATTTAAGAAGAGTATATATCCGCAGCTGGGCATGGTGGTGTACACCAGCAGTTCAGCTACTCAGGAAGCTGAAGCAGGAAGATCACCAGTTCAAGGCCAGTGTTGGCAACTTAGCAAGTCCTTGTCTTGAAATAAAATGATAGAAAGGTCTGGGAATGCAGCTCAGTGATAGAGCAAACCTGAGTTTAGTCTCCAGTGCTAAATGAAAACAAGAAGAATATATAATTCCCCCCTTTTGTTACAAAGGTCTTTGTTAATTCAGGACTGTTAACTGTAATACTGAAATCTTTCATAGGCTTCTCTTATTTTTTTTGTCTTCTTAAAATTTTATTTTATTTTATTTTATCCCATTTTCCCTGTGAATTTATGCCTGTAAGATTATTCTTGAATTTTTAACCTTTTTTTTTTGTTTGTTTTTCATTTGTGTAGTCTAAAACTATATCTTTCTAGATTAAAAATTCACCATTGTTTGGAGAATTTGGGGGCTTTTGCTACTTTACCAATATGAAGTGGCCCTCGTTTGATTTGTTTTTTTTTAATATTGAGGCAGGGTCTCAGTAAGTCACTAACTTGCCCAGGCTTGCTTGAATTTGCAATCCTCCTGCCTCAGCCTCTGAGAGTGCTGAGATTACAGGTGTATACCACCTCCCGAACTTGAAGTGTCTCTCATTATGTTTTAATACTTTTCATCATAAATTCTATCCTGTTAGCATGACCACTACAGTGTCCTTTGTGTTAACATTTGTTCTTTATATTTTGGTTCATTTCTTTGTCTTCACAATTTTTAGTCATTTCAGTTTGGGTTTGTCTTCTATAATAAATAGGATACCGCATGTTTTTTTTTTTTAATCTAAGAGTCCTTGTTTCTTTATATAAGGATTTACCTCATGCACATTATTTATGTTTTTGGTTTTATTTCTGCCATCTTTGCTATTTTTTTTTTCTTTTGCCTTCCTCTCTTAATTTTGCTAGATTGGTTGAATTTATTTGCTCCTTCTGATTACATCTTACTAGAAGTTACTCTGAAGTATAAATGTTGAAGAAGTACATTAACACCCGTCTTAGTCACTTTCTCATCCCTGAAACACAATACCTGACCCATGCAACTTAAAGGAGGAGAGGTTTATTTGGGCTCACGGTTTCAGAGAGTTCAGTTCATGGTTGGCTGACTCCAAGGCAGGAAGGCAAGATGAAAGGACCTGTGGGAGGGAATTTGCTGATGTCATGGTCTTCAAGAAGCAGAGAGAGAAGAGAGGAGCAGGGAGGAAGATACACTCTTCCAGGTCACACCTCTAGTGATCTACTTTCCTGACAAGACAGCAAAGCAGCTATGATGGATAACCAGTGATCCAAACATCTTCCAAATCGCCCACCTCTGAGTGCATGAGGCTCTTGGGGGACATCTAGATATAAACCAATACAGCATCATATTACTATTTGGATATAGAAATGAATACCTTCAGTTTTTCCCCAAGGACTAGACAAGCCTTTCCTGGTGCTTTACATGCACACTTCCCTTCCCAAGGCTTTGTTCTTCCAGCTTCTGGAGATGCCAACTCTAAGGCTTTGACCTGGAGCTCAGATCAGTAGCCTTGGCTTCCCCAGGTGTGCCCCCCTCTTCTTCCCTGACATCCTCCTTCTTTTGTGAATTCTTCAAATTCCAATACATTTCATAGTCACATGTTTAGAAAGTATTTAGACTTAAGCATAAGTTTTACTTGCTATTAGTTTCTTTGCAACTGCTCTCTCTTTATTCTCTTTGTCTGTACTTTCATTTCTTTTTCCTTTTGTTGGAATATCTTTGATAAATATTTTAGAAGGTTGTTTGGACTGTGTGTCCAGCATCTTCTGTTTGTCCTTCCAAGGCTGCCTCTCCTGTTTCTTCCTCTCTCTGGTCCCACAGGCTGATCTGTGTAGTCGACATTAGAGCCGCTGCACTGCCCCTGCAGGTTTCCCTACGTGCTACCCACACGTTTGTGGATACTATATTTCCCCAACCAGAATTTATAGGGATAAGATGTAAGACCTCCAAAGATATAAACATCAGCAGGTGTTCAAGTCCCTTATATTAATGGGGTAGTATTTGTGTATAACCTGTGTACACCACCTTGTATACCATGGTGGCGCACCTGTGCCATATGAAGCTATTTGTATCATTGAAAGCTGTAAAAGGTTCACCATCATTACTCTCTACAATAAATCACCTCTAGTTGACTTTTATATTATCTCATACAATGTAAATACAAATAAATAATAGTAAATCATACAAGTAAATAATTGTTATACTGTGTTTCTTAGAAAATAATGATTTTGAAAGTCTGTACACATTTAGGACAGATGCAGTTAAAAAAAATATTTTCCATGGACAGTTGCACCTGAGATTAGTTCACTGCATAGTTGTAGAACCCAGGGATGTGGATGGGATGCTGTTGTCCTTTTTTGGACCTCTCAAATGATCCTAATTTAAATGGGCCATTAATGTTCTGCTGAGAACCTGACTGGTCTGGGCCCGCATGAACAGACAGCCTCAATTCACTGATGCACAGTCTGCATAATCCAATGTCAATGTCCTTTCAATCCTAGGTATCTTTCTTGGTTTCTACCCAGTTGTGATAAAATCAAAAGTACAGTTTTGAGTATACCATAATTCCCAGGTTCATGTGTGAGGTGCCAAGAGTTAACAAGCAAGCCTGTGGACAGGGACCAAAGGCCCTGCTACCCTCTGGGGAAGCCACTGGAGAGAATGCAGCCTCCTGGCTTCTGAAAGAAAGCCATTGGTCCCACCCAAGAGCTAAGAAGGCAGCCAGGGAGGGTACTGAGGAGCCACTGGGATACAGGGACCCTACCTGCCTCCTGGGAGTTGAGCCTGGTTAGCAGGCTGTTTCCAGCTGGGCTATCTCTCTTTTAACATCTGTGTCTCTGAAAGTCCAGCCTCCCTGCAGCACAGGAAGGTGTGAGAACAGTAAAAAGACACCACCTGGATGCTGTACCCATTGATGGTATCCAACATGTTGTTAAAGGAGACCTCTTATAAAGGTTGCCACAGGGTGTATTTAAACATATATTCACCACGTAGATGGGCTTAGTGAAAACCTCAAACTTATGTGACCTTGCATATTTCTTCCACTAATCTTGTGACTCTTTCCCAGGGTCTGGGGCGTAAGAAGATCTCCCCAGACAAAGGACAGCATGTTTCTAGAAATTTCAATCTTTGGGCAAGTGACTTCATTCCTTCTTGTCTTGATGGCTTTTCAAGTAATCAGATAGCCTATGTGTACAAGGAAGCCACTATAGTCCCGAACTTCAGACGTTTTCCAAAATGTTACAACAAGGTTTGGGACACCTTCAAAGCTGCCGAGCAAAGCTGCAAGAAGACAAAGTAAGGTTTGCCATAGACAAAAGGCTATTTCTCCTCAGGAACTTTAAAAATCCTGGAAGACTCTCAATGAGTTTTGTGATATTACTATTTCCTCTACATTCTAAAAGTATGTCTTTTGACCCAGCACTACTATTTAATCTTTGAAATACTTCATTTATCTTTAATAAGGTTGAGAAAGATGGAAAAACATTCAGCCTTTATAAAATGAACATATGTGAAACTCTACACATATGTAATCCTTTAAGATTTGTCACATTTACCTTTAGGGGAGTTTCAAAAATGACACACTTCATACATGGTTTCATTTTTGTTCTGAAATTTCAAACAAATATAGAGAAAGCAAAAGGCCCCCTGCTCAGGTCACATTTCTAATTCTTATTTCTGTTCTCAAAAGTCCATTGTTTGTTTGTATTCTGTGCATTTACACTCGAAACACGTATGCATAACTATATAAAAATTCAAACATAGACTATAGCTCACAGCACATAATATTCTAGAGTTTGTCTTCTGATAATCAAGATCTTGCAGTTTTTACAGAGCATTTTATTAGTATAATAGACTGGTTTTATTTTTAAATGGCTGTGCTATGTTACCAAGTATGGGTGCACTGTATTTTTAAAAATTATTTTATTACTAGCGAGCATTTGGATTGTTAATAACTTTGGGGCCACGCACAATGCTCCGCGCGGGAATGAGCTACGCGAAGCTCTTTGAGCGCCGTGGGCGTGTCCCTCAGGGGCGGGCATTGCACGTGCTGCTCGAGCTGGACTGGACCGGACAGCAGGTGAAGTTCGCCCCCAAACTGCCTCTGAAAGAGAAAACCTGTTAAGCTTGTATCAAATCTATGGGCGAGTTTCTTTTCCCCTCACATTACCTTTGGATGTTTAAGGACAAAACAAATGTTCTTGTTATTTCTTCTCTTGCATTTTTAGAATTACTAGTGCAGTTGAGTGTGTCTTTCTCGTGCAGTGGCCATTTATGTTTCCCTTCATTCACTAAGCAGTGTCGTCCTTGTTCTCTACCAAAGTCTTCCTGTTGTTTTTGGATGCATTTCCTACACATGAATAACCTCCCCAAGTTTAAAAAAAAAAGCCACTGCCAATTTGGTAGGATTTTCCCCCCAATTTATATATTAATTTATGGGAAAAATGACTTTATACTGGGGTATACTTCCCCATTTATTCCTATTTCGTATACTTCAGTAAAATTTACTGTTTTCCTCAGACAGGCTTGATATTTTTAATGCTTATACTGCATATTTTAAAACACTTGTGGTTATTTTGAATGTCATATTTTTAAGTTGTACTTTTAGATCATTTTGGCCATTGTGTAAGAAAGCTGTTGATTTCTGTATATGAGTCTCTTATTTGCTCTTGTATTGATTGTATTGGCTAACCTTCTAATAAATACTCTAATACAATAAAAATAAAGTTCTAATAATTTTTCATGTGACTTTTCTGAATTTTTATGCAAACATTTAAACAATTTGCAAAAGTGAAAATTTTGTTTCATTTCTAACATTTACGTTCCCCTCCCTATCTTACTACACTGGACAGGACCGGGTATAATTTCAGCAGTAGCACAGATAGTGAATACCTTATTTCCAAATGTAACAGAGCTGCTTTTTGTTTTTGTACCTGGAATTGAACTCAGGGACTTGCGCTTGCCAAGCATGTGCTGTGCCACTGAGCTAAATCCCCAGCCCAACAGACCTACTTTTGATGTGTCACCAAGAAACCTGACTTCCGTTGCAAATTTCAGATGGGCAACTTTTATCTAGTTGAGCATGTTCTCTTACAGTCTTAATTCCCTATACTTGTTTGCCCTGAAAATTTTTAAAGTATATATAGATGGCATAGGGGCCAGGGATTTAGCTCAGAGGCTCCATGCCTGCCTCGCAAGTGCAAGGTCCTGAGTTCAATCCCCAGTACCAAAAACGAACAAACAAACAAACATGGCAAATTTTTCAAAGAAAATAAAGACAATCAACAAAAGTTTCTCCTCATGTCCCCAGCTCCCTGTCCTCATTTTCTGTCTCAGGACTAACTCATGATGTGTTCGTGTGCATCTGTCTCAAGGTAGGACGGTATGTATAGATTCTCTTAGGTTGCTGCTTACACACACACACACACACACACACACACACACACGTGCACATCCTGAACAAACTCCATGGTAGATACTATTCCACAGTTGCTTTCTCACCTTCCTGCACTGACTACATGTATGAATATATCTTGCCGTATTTGTCACTTTCATAATCACTTTTTAACAAAATGTGTATGCCCGATATTTCCTCATATGAATGTGCGATAGTTCTTGTAATCTTCAGATGGCCATTTAGGCAGTTTCCAGTCTTTCTTTATTGTAAACAGTCTGGAACAAATAACATTAGAGATAAACATTCGTGCTTACCCATGAACATTTCTATATGTAAACTCATGAAAAATAAACTTGTTAACTAAAGAATATGTGGGTTTTCAATTTTTAGAGCTCATGTTGTCAAATTTCCTAAAAGGACTCATGTTCCAGGTGACAACTTCACTAACTAGAAGTGACAGAAAAGGCTTATTTTCCCACACCCATGTGTCATCAAACTTTATATTTGCCAATTTGTTAGCCTAAAATTAACATTGCGTTTTCATTTTCATCTCCTTCAATGTATAAAATTATTGAGAAGTCATTAATATTTCTTCTGCTGTGAACTGTTTATCTGTATCTTTCATTAATTTTTCTATTAGTTTGTCCGGTTCTTTAATCATTTGATTTCTGTACATATTAAAGTATTAAATCTTTTGAGTCAAATATGTTCCATTTTTCTAGTTGATTTGTGTTTTTGTCTTAACACACAGACACACACAACACACTCATTACACACACACACACACACACACACATATATATTAGATTAATAGGCTTTCTTAGAGGAGTGTGTGTGCATGCATGTGTGTGTGATCAAACCCACTGCTTCACACATGCCTGACTATTCTCTGCCACTGAGCTAAACTCCCAGCCTTCTTAGAGCAACTTTAAGATTACAGAGATATTCAATGAACAGTACAGACTTCCCAAACACCCTCTCTCCACAGATTTCCCCTCCACATTTCTCCTGTTCTTAACATCTTTTGTGGGGGTAGCACACAATCTTATTTCTAGCCTTGCACATTTTTTGAAAATATGGAAGGCTTCACCAACTTTGCCCAGGGGTCATGCTAATCTCTGAATCATTCCCATTTTGGTATATGTGCTGCTGAAGTGAGCACCGCCCTAAACATTTTTTAATGTAGTACAATGAATGAATGAATCTTTCATTTAATGGCTTCTAGATTTTGAGTCTTGCTTAGAACTTCCAAAATTTGATATTATTAAATCAGTCTAAGATCGTGATATAGATTCTTATTCTGTTTACTTATGGGTGATATTCCAGCAATTAATGTTTTGGTATTTACTGAGATGGTCAAATACATTTTTGCATTGATCTGCTAATGTGAAACGTACATTAATGAATTTCCTACTCTTGAACCATTCCAGCATTGTTGAGACAAACTCTTGTTGGTTATGATGTTATGCTTTTGATCTGCACAGAATCTGATATGCAAATATTTCACCTGTAGCCTTTTAAGCTTCTGAAATCATAATTTTAGCTACAAGTTGAAGACAGCTTCCTCTCCTTTTCTTCCCTCTGACACTGCTTAACGTGAATTGCAAATACTCAGATCCTGCCTGCCACAGAAGCTCCCGAAACAGGTGCTGTTTTCAGGTACAGAACTTTGAATGTCTTTTCAAATTATTTTATGAAGATTGGTTTCTATGGTGCTTCTATTTCTTTCTCTCTTCTTTTCTCATTGTTAGCAGTATTATTTTTAGAGTAAATTATTGTTTCATCATGATTTTAAATGTTTAGTATTTTAATTTATTATTCTTTAGGGCTGTAAAGTCATGTCCTGTTCTTTGACAGTTTGAATTTTGTTCACATGCTTCTGCTGTTTACTGACTCTAAATTTTTGTTGCTGTTCTTCACTTTTGTTTTGTTTTGTTTTTTTGGTTTTTTGAGATAGGGTCTCACTATGTAGTTGAGACTGACCTGGAACTCACTATGTAGCCCAGGCTGGCCTTGAACTCAACAGTGATCCTCCTGCCTCAGCCTCCCGAGTGCTGGGATTACAGGAGTGAGCCACCATGCCCAGCCGTTCTTCACTTTTGATCTCAGTGTATGTTTTCCTGTTTACTAATTCCTTTCTTGGGTTTTTAAAAAATTTTTCCACTTCTAGCTTCTTATGGTGAAAACATAATTATTTTCAGTCCTTCCCAATTTTTTGTAAATGCAATTAAGGCCATTATTTCAAATACACACATACATCATCATCATCATACCTGTGTTTTCACCATTATTCATTTAAAAATACCTTGTGATTATTGTCATTTTAAATCCAAGAATCCTTAAGAAGTGTATATACAATTTTATTCTTTTGTTATTTTTTCATTGTCAATATTTTATTAATTGCTTCATTTCTGCATTGTGATCAGTGGTGAAGATTTGTATGATTTCTGCTTACTGAAAAGTTTTAAATGTTCTTGTGGTTCAGCACATGGTCAATTTCTATGACTGTTCTACAAATGTTTAATGGATGTGCAATAATCTCCTTTTTAAGTAACTTTAAAAAAATTATAAGGCCATGGGGGAGAATCCTTAAGCTTCATCTTCCACTGTAATAAAAGGCTCTTCAATTATCCATTCTGCTACTTAGCCACTTACTGAGATTTTCCTATAACCAAGCAACATTTTAATTTCAAGGTCTCTATATGGCATTTATTTATGAATGCAATGTTTAATTCTGCCTGATATCAGTTTTACTTATTACACCTTGCTATTTCCCTCTACTCACTTTGCTGCCTGGGGTATTGTCTTGTTGCCTGGTCCAAACAATTTGTGCTTCTTGGTTTGGTTTGAGGATCTTGGATAGCCATTTATGAGTGGTGTGTATGTTCTTTTCACAGTCTGCCTGAGGGTGGGGGAGAGGCAGGATTGATAGCCTG